ACAAACTGTTATCTTAACTTGGAGTAACTGTAAAGATCTGGGCCGTGATGGATTTCCCTGTGAAAGGAGACAAAACATTTTCTGATCTATCTCTTCCTTAACCTTTTAATTTCTCCAACATTGATGGAGATGTTGCTTCTTCATTATCACTTAATGAGGCCCGTAAATACAGTTCCATCAAAATCAGGGAAAGGTCAAACTCTATCCTTCAATGATTAAGATATCTCTCTGAATAATATCGATCTAAGGTGAAAAGGGATGCAGTGGCTCAGTGGCTAAGACGCTGAGCTTATGGATCAGAAAGGTCAGCTGTTCTGCAGTTCGAATCCCTAGCACCATGCAACCGAGTGAGCTTCCGTTAACTTGTCCCAGCTTCTGCCAACCTAGCAGTTCGAAAGCACATAAAAAATGCAAGTAGAAAAATAGGAATCACCNCCTTGATTAGTTTTCATCCATTGCTTCTTGTTTTGTCCTCTGGTGCTTTGGAGAATAGTTTAATCCCTCTTCTTTGGGGCAGCCCCTGAGGTATTGGAACACTGCTACCATGTCTCCCCTAGTCCTTTTTTTCATTAAACTAGACATATCCAGCTCCCGCAACTGTTCTTCATATGTTTTAGCCTTGCTCCCTAATCATCTTTGTTGAAAATAGCTTAAATTGGCCTATTATTCCTTCAGCACACTAAGCACGGTGCATATAAAACGCCTTCTCCTGTGTTCAGTTTTCCTTCACGCAACCTGGTCAAGAAAACAATAATTTTAACAATCACCCTGTTCGGTTTCCCTTTCCTAAAAAAAAAAAAACCAACCACCCATCGTCTTGGGTTTATTGCAAATTTAATTTGACTTGATAGGATTGCCTCTAAATGAGCTTTGGCATTTCTCTAAATACGTTAATTTCCAGGCATTGCAATGGATGAATTTTAATAATTTGCATCATTTTTCCTAAGCGTGATCACAGAATGCATGTTTATCTCTGAAAGAAAGAGGATTTTTTAAAAAAAATATTTTTTTTATTGTTTGCATATAAATATATTGAATATAGTGCAATTGTCCTGACATTTGACTTGCCATAAAAACCAACGTGAAAACAAATAACATATATACTATTTAAAACAGTGCTACTGTTGTACAGTTATTTTTGACCATCCTATTCATTCTAATACAACGATCCATATATAGTAACTCTTTCCAAGTCCCCCTAACCTAATTTTTTCATATTCCAACCTCCACCTCATGCTTCTAACCATTGATAGAATCTGTTCCATGTCTCATAATATTCTGTGTCTCCTTTGCATTTTATTTTTAACGTTAGTCTATCCGTTTCTGCACAGACCAGTATCTTCCTTATTATCTCCTCTTCTGAAAAGGGGTGTTTTCACTCTTTCACTGCTGCGCATACATCATAAACTTCGCCAGAATTATTTCTATTAGGCATTATATCACATGGCTATGATAAAGGGTAAAGGTAAAGGTTCCTCTCAAAAATATTGTGCCAGTCGTTCCCGACTGTAGGGGGCAGTTCTCATCCTCGTCTCAAAGCCAAAGAGTCAGCGCTGTCCAATGGTCATGTGGCCGGCATGACNTTTAGAGGGAGGATTTACAGTCACAGACCTGATCTGGCTTGGAGAGCTGCCAGGCTGATATCTGCAAAAGTTGGCAAGGAGCCTCAGAGAGTCACAAACCAATAAAGCCATCTAATTGTCTCATGCAAACTCCACTCCCCTTTCGCTCCTCTTTTATTTCCTCTGGGAGGGGCCATTCATCGTCCACCTGTGGCCTTACTCCCAAGTCGACCCCTGTTCTTTAGCTATTCCATTCGTCTGACAACTCTGTGCATGCGCACACTGGGAACAGGCTCCATCTGTTCCTCTGTCTCACTGATGTCGGACTCTGAAGGCAGCTGATAACTGGCATAAGGCTCTGCCCCCCCTCCCCTGCCTCAGACACAGAGCCCTCACCAGAGCCTTTCCCAGACTCCAGGACTGGCGCAGGTTCCTCCCCAACCTCCTCACTGTCCGAATCTGCTGCCAGCTCTGCTGGCTGTTGATGGGCCACAACAGGAAGATTTTTTTCCCCCATAGCTCTCCTCTCTCCAAAACAAGGGGGCAGACCACAAAGACCCATTTTATAAGATACCCATTATCTTAGAATAACATGAGATCCTGGGATTTGGGCTGCGGTGACACAAAATGAAAACCAAGCCATCAACAATCGAGTTGTATTGGATTTACTGGTCATCTTTATAACCTGACAGCAAATCCCCAGGGTTTTTATCAAAGCTATGTTTAAGCTAAAGGTATGTTTAGACAGGGGACAAAGCAAAATCCAAAAATGAAAACTTCAAGGATTAAGATAATCTGATGATTAGGGGACTGGAGGCTAAAACATATAAAGAACGGTTGCTGGAATTGAGCATGTCTTGTTTAATGAAAAGAAAGGCTGGGGGGGGGGGTGACATGATAGCAGTGTTCCAATATTTGAGGGGATGCCACAGAAAAGATGGGGTCAACCTATTCTTCAAAGCATCAGTAGGCAGGATAAGAAAGGATGGACATTTTTTCACAGAGAGATCTAACCTAGAATTTAGGAGAAATTTCCTGGAAGAACTAGTGCTGGTATTCTGCCAGTTCTTACCAATTCGGGCGAAGCAGTGGCGGCTAGAGACTCCACCCACACACCCCGACGTAGTGTATGACCTGTGCATGCACAGAAGGTGGTGTGTATGAGCATAGCGAGTGCACTCACATTTGCGAACCGGTAGTGAAGGTAAGTAAATCCCACCACTGGACAGAACAATTATTCAGTAGAAGAATTTGTCTACAGAAGTTGTGGATGCTCCAACACTGGAAATTTTTAAGAAGAGATTGGACAACCATTTGTCTGAAATGGTATAGGGTTTCCTGCCTAAGCAAGGGGTTAGACTAGAAGACCTCCAAGGTCCCTTTCTGCTATTCTATTCTCCAAAGAACCTGAAGGCAGGATGAGAAGCAACAGATAGTAGCTAATCAAGGAGAGAAGCAATGTAGAACTAAGGAGGAATTTCCTGGCAGAACAATTAATCAGTGGAACAGTGTGAATCCAGATGTTGTCAATGCTCCAACACTGGAAGTTTTTAAGAAAAGTTTGGACAACCATTTGAAATGGTATAGAGTCTCCCTAAGCAGGGGGTTGGACTAGAAGACCTCCAAAGCCCTGTCCAACTCTGTTATTCTATTCTAAATCTAAAAAAGAAAGGTGAGGGAACAAGGATGCTTTAACAGCTGAACTGTGCTGTCCTGCTCATACACACACACACATATACACATAAATGGTTTAGTGGATTCCCTTTACCAAAACCCCAGAACTGTCCCAATTAAGTCCAGCCACAAGCCGATGCTACACCACAGAGCAATGACCAATGAGTCCACAAGGCGATTGAAAGTTTCCCAATTAAAATAAAATCCATCAGGCAAAATTAAATCCACAATGCAAGAGGGTTCACGGAGCAAGAAAAACTCAGAGTTTACAAGACACGCTCCAAATCAAGACACAGTGTCAGTCCAAAGCGAGGCAAGAATCACTACAACCAGAAAACACACAGCTAGGAATGAACAGGTTGTTCCCAGCATCGCCCCCCTCTTGTCTGCTGTGCTAAACAGCGAGATTCTGGTGCAGCCCATTGAGAAGAGAAAGGCTGCCTCCTCATCAGTAATCTGGCTGACCTTCGCTGCTCCTGGCTGCCTATTCTTTGCTCTATGTGTTCTTGAAAGAAGGCAGTTCCTCTCCCTCATCGCCAACCAGCTGCAGTTGCACACTTTCCCACCTGAAGTCTCAGGGCTGTCCTGCTGCAGCTGTGCTTGAGCTAAATCTATCTCCAATGGCTGCTTGGAGCCATTGACCAACTGATCTCCCAATGTGCCTGGAACAGGTTCATCCTTCCCCAAGCTGACATCTGGAGAGTTATCTGGGGAAACATCCGGGGAAGTCATGACTCGAGCTCCTGAATTTTTTTTAAAAAAAGACTTGGCTATTTAAATTGGTGTTTGTAGGCTGCCAATTTGGGGGAGTCCTGAACATCCTACTGAAGTCTTCCCCCACCCCAGTAAAGATAATCCTCAACTTACAATTATTTGTTTAATGACCATTCAAAATTATAACACCACTAAAAAAAAAGCCCGCAACGGGTCCTCCAACTTACAACCGTTACAGCATTCCCAAAGTTATGGGGTCAGAATTTGGGAGTTTGGCAACTGGCATGTGTTTATGGTGGTTGCAGCATCCTGAAGACACATGATAGATAGCCATGCTGTCAGAGTTCCAAATAGCATCCAAAATAAAATCAGAGTCCGAGGCAAAGGATTCCTCAAAGTTCCAATTTATTAAGAGAGCCATGTTGGCACATCTGGGAAAACCCTAATCTGAAACCTTCCCAGTTTTCCCACCCAGTTGAAAACTTAAGATCCTGCCCCAATACCCACAAGTTCATCACATGGTCCAATCTTCCACTGCCACGACAGATTCCNCAGCCTGTTTCAGTTTCAGTACAGCCTGATTAGCACAAGTAGCTGATTGTCGGTTGGATAGGCCTCCTGACTATCAGCTGTTTCAGGCTACAGGGATTGCCATAGCCTATTGCCATCTCTATGAGCTTCATTTTCAGTCTCCGCCTCCTGTTTTACGCCTTTGCACATCCCGTTTTCGGCCTCTGCGTACCCCAGGATCAGAATGGATGGAAAATGAGGCGCACGGAAGCCAAAAATGGAATGCAGAGGCTGAAAATGGGGTGCACGGAGGCAGCAATAGGCAATGGCAATCTCTGCAGCCTGAAACAGCTGAGCGTCGGGAGGCCAACAATCAGCTGTTTATGCTAAAGCTGAAACTGAAACAGGCTGTTTGCTGTTTGCTGCAAGGAGGCAAATTGCTGGGAAGCAGAGGTCAAAGGGTGGGGGCCGGTAGGTGAGCAGGGCTACATTCGGTGTATAAGACATACCCAAATTTTCACCCTTTTTTTAAGGGAGGGGGAGTGCGTCATACTCGGTACGGTAATTCAGGTATGTGGTCAATCACCTGTCAATTGATTTGTTTCTTTTCTTCTCAAATTTTTAGGGGAGTGCCTTTGGAAAAAGAGGGCCAGATCTCTTCTGCGATTGTGTCGTCTGTTCAGAGTAAAATCACTCAGGTATAACTAAGTGTGTTCTGGATTTTACAAGGCTTCACAGTTACTGCAGTCCTTGCATCTTGTGAGGTGTCGGGGTTTTGAACATTCAAAGGAGATGCCTAAAATAGGACCTCTGCTTTGTGAGAGGAGGGAGTGTCTTTGTTATCCTTTGGTGCCAGTGTTTGTGATTTAATAGGCAGCTCTCCACTCACAACCACAACAGAAATTCCGTCACTAAGCTGTTGTTCAATGAAGCACAGCTAGGTTTACCCCAAAATTTTACTGAAAAATAGAGTTATTTTCTGAACTGAAAAAAAAATCATTGTAAAAATAATAAAGGCAGGATAGGAATACATAAAAATTTAAAAGATGGTTAGGAATGAGTGGGTTTACCCCCAGCCCCCAAACCAGTTCCATATCCACATTTTTCTTCTGTTTTTTTACAGAAATAAACTTTTTTCTTTTCCCAACAATGGGAAACTTTAAATCGCTTTTCTTTGGGTCCTTGCAATATATATATTTAAAAAGTCTTAGCTCAATCATCTATGGAGAGTCTCTATCACCCAGTCATGGTTGTCTCAAAGTTGTTTTTTCCAAAAGTCAAAGAGACTTTCTTGGTTTTTNAACAGTGTTCCATGCACCTTTGGTGTTGAGTCATGCTGGCCACATGACCACGGAGACATCTTCGGACAGCGCTGGCTCTTCGGCTTTGAAACAGAGATGAGGGAACCTTTAAAGTGAAAACCGGGGGTGGGTGGGTGGTAAATGAGTTTTCTATGTTTTAGCCTCTTATTCTCTCCAATATCTTTTTTTCCTCCTCCACCTGAAATCCTATTTAACATGTTTTGTCATGCTGAAAATCAACTCTGCGTCGAAGGTTAAATATGAAAGAGCTTTATGCATTTACAACTGATTGTTATATGAACAATATTTCTCTCTTGAGAAATGAGAGCTGGAAAAATAAACTAGTTTCTCCACTCCCTTGTAGAATTTTTCTTACATCTAGGGATGCCTCTTTTTAACCTTTCAAATCAGGCAGACAAGAGTTCACCGAAAATGGCGAGCAATAAATCTTTATAGACCACCAGTCTCCGGGTTTTACAGTGTGAAGTCAAGCAAGTCATGTTTCGGTTATCGCGTTTCGCCAAGCGGGGCCAGTCAGTTGAGAAAATTGAGTCAAATCAGAGTCAATTGAGGTTAGTTTTTTGACTCGGGGAAAAGTTGGATCGGTTGACTTGTTTGCTTTCCTGAATGGGGAAATTAAACAAAAGTTGCATCCGGTCCATTTGGCTTGATTTTTTTTTCTGAATACTTGAATCAAGCCGAGTCTATTAGACTTGATTTCCCAAGCATTTAAGGCAGTTCAGTTCAGGCATTCAATCAAATAGGCTTCAGACTGAAACTACAATATGGAGAAACTATCATGACAGAGACCCAAAATTTTGGTTGCTAAGGGAGACTTTTTGTTAAGAGAATTTTACGAACCTTTCCTGCCAGCGTTGTTAAGAGAAGAGTGAAGAGAAGGTGAAGAGTGAAGAAAAGGAGCAAGGGAGACAGGATAGTAGTCTTCCAAAATGAGCCAGCTGAATGCGGTGGCAGCCAAAAAAAGCCAATGCAATCCTAAATTGCATTAACAGAGGGATACAATCAAGATCAAGGGAGGTACTGATACCATTCTATAAAGCCCTAGTGAGGCCACATCTAAACTCCTGCATCCAGTTTTGATCACCACACTATAAAAAAGATGTTGAGACTCTAGAAAGAGTGCAGAGAAGAGCAACCACGTTGATTAGGGGACTGGAGACTAAAACCTATGATAAACGGTTGCAGGAACTGGGCCTGGCTAGTCTAGTGAAGAGAAGGACCAGGGGAGACATGATAGCCTCTTCCAATATTTGAGGGGCTGCCACAGAGAGGAGGGGGTCAATCTATTTTCCAAAGCACCTGAAGGCCAGACAAGGAATAATGGATGGAAACTGATCAAGGAAAGATTCAATCTGGAAATAAGGAAGGATTTTCTGACAGTGAGAACAATCAACCCATGGAACAAAAGTTGCCTTCGGAAGTTGATCACCACACTATAAAAAAGATGTTGAGACTCTAGAAAGAGTGCAGAGAAGAGCAACTAGAATGATTACGGGACTGGAGATTAAAACATATGATGAACCCATCAGAGAAAGTAAGTAAGCAAGGGCACAATGGAAAGGAGGGGGGATGAGGAGGGAAAGGAAGAAAGGGTAAAGCAGAGGAAATGAGGGGAATTAAGAGTAGGAGAGAGAGTCAGGAGGAAGAAAAGAAAGGAGGAGGGGGAGTAAGAAAGGGGAAGAAGAAAGGAGGAAGGAAAGGAAGAAAGAAGAAGGCAGAGAAGGGAGGTTGAGAAGATGGAAGGAGCAAGGTTATTGCAAAATAAAATGGAGACACAGGGTGGTAAAAAAAGGACCCAAACTGTATTCTATATATTTGTAAGAAAATAAAGATTAATGATGAATAGATAAATGTTAATAGCAATTATAAGAATGTATATTTGTGAATGAATTTATAAGAGAAAAATAAAAAACCTTACTTTAAAAAAATACAATGAACAGTTGCAGGAACTGGGCATGNGATCAGCTGGGACTCGGGAGGCAGAGAATAGATGGGGGCAGGGGCCAGCCTGAGGTATTTACCGGTTCTCCAAACTACTCCAAATTTCCGCTACCGGTTCTTCAGAACTGGTCAGAACCTGCTGAATCCCACCTCTGCCCCACTCCCTTCTAGCACTGATGATGTTACCTAATTGGGTAATGAAACATCTGCAAGAAAACCACTGAGCTCGGAAAGCACCGAAGGGCCCATAATTCAACCCTGAGCTACAGATATTCCCTTCCTTTGGTGAGGTGGAATTTTTGGGTGGTAAGAAAAATACATGCCGTGGAAGAGGTCCTCGGCTAACCTTGGGCAGACAATTTGTTTGGTTATTGTTGCTGTCTGACATAGTTTCTATGCTTCCTTTGTGTGCAGGATCTTATGGCCAAGGTGAGGGCGATGCTTGCAGCTTCTAAAAATATTTCAACCAGTGCCTCCTGAGACGGAAGGATGGAAGCTCCAGGAGGAACAGAAAGTCCTTGTTAGTGGCGGGGAGACGAGTCTTCCTGCGATGCCGTTGAGTTGCAAAACTTCCTCCCACGGGGAAGGGAGCCTTGTAAATTATGTTCTGATTGGTTTCTCAGTAAGAATTTTACGACGAGAGGTGCCTGTATATTTGTAAATAGGACATTCCGGCGAGTGTTACACAAATAAAAATGCAGAGAAATCCTTTTTATTAGCTAAAGACTTTCTGGAGGTTGGTTGGTTATTGTTTTCTTTTCTTTTTTTCTCCCTTTCTTTGTTTGAGATGACCTTATACTCGCTTTTCAATCAGGGTCCTCTAAGGTAGTGTGTATAAATTGAATTGAGCAGAACAAAGCGAAGAAATGCTAACAAAAAGCAACCGGGAAAAGGAGGAGGGGGGGGGGTAATTAGGCCAAAGGAGTGACACATATTGAGCTATATAGATTTTGCTTGGAGAGAATAATGCAAAAGGGGTCGAAGGGAGCAGATTTCTAATATTCTCCAGGCTGTAATTGGGAGCTGACTTGCAGGGTTTTATGGCCTCCAGTCAGAAAAAAAGCTAGTTATTTACTTGGTGACAACCATTCTAAGATTTGGAATAAGACTTCTTAATACCTTGTTGGAAGAAGAACTCGGGATCCTTCAGATATCCAGAGTTCTGCCCGTAAAGGTAAACCTCAATTTATTTGACTTTATCATAAAATGCGCTTGATAAATTGACACTTACTGCTTGAAAATTAATGAGTAGTTATGATCAGCCTCTCCCCTCCCCTTCTCTCCCTCAGTCTTGTATCATCTCCTCTCCCCTTCTCTCCTTCAGGCTTGCCCCACAGAAGCCTCTCTCTCCCCTTCTCTCCCTCAGGCTTGCTCCACAGAATCCTCTCTTCTCTCCCTCAGGCTGGCCCCATTGATCCTCTCCTATCTTATCCCCTTCTCTCCCTCAGTCTAATTCCTTAGCATCAGCGTTTTTCAGGTGGGGAGGGGGGGGGTAGAATTTCTAAACTCCCAGCCCGTAGGCAGGATGAGTCATACACTGCCCATGCTCATGTTCATGCTCATGCTCAAGTGGCAGTTGGAACAGAATTCTTTTCAGATGGGGAGAGGGAGTAGAACGTCTAACTCCTTAGCATCAGAGCATGTTAATAATATAAGAAATACTAATGATCTGATGGTCATTTCAAAAAATCCTTTCTTAGCGAGTACCTAGAAGCCAAGAGGAACGTATGTGCCAAATTTCAAGTTTGTAGGCTTTACATTTCTGGAGATTTTGTGATGATACGTGAGTGGTATTTTGCTTTTAGGTGGGTGGGTGGGTGGATGTTGTAGCCATGGAGTTGGCAAACTCTCTCTCTCACACACACACACAATTTATTTGGACTTTTAATTAAACATATATTGGGAGCTTGGTGGATATAATAATCCACTTCTTGAAGCAATGCTTGTTGAAAATGCAAGGGTGGAAGACTTGCATTTTTCTGCCAAATTTTCAAGGGGCAATTCTTGAACTATCTGGGACGCTCCATCCCAAATCCACCGCTTCAGAATTGGGGCTGGGCTGTTGGTGTGAGGATCTAGAAACACCACAGCTGGAATCCTTGTGAAATTAGTCTTGGGAAGAAGGGGTTGATGCGTAATCCATTTTGAAATTAGTCATAAAGGAATAAAATTAGTATAATAAAATCTCAGCCAGCTTTAGGCATTGGGAGGGGACGGGTGATTTAATGCTAGCTGTTTCCAAGTTTGTTTTAGTGCGTGGAGCCTCTTTAATTTAATAGTAAATGAATTCACTGACCTATTTTTCCTTGACACATTATTATTTTTACAATCACTTTACCAAACACAAAACCACTGCTGTGAATCGTGCTTAACTTTGTCCAGGTCCCAAACACAGTGTTAAAAATGAGGGAACACTAGAAAAAGCCACAGTCTGCTGGGTCATCATTTCAGAGATACTTCCTTACCTAAACCGATAAACCGAATGACCCAAGGAAGGGGTTTTGATTTTCTGCTGGCTTCCCCATTGACTTTGCTGGTGGGAAATCACATCGGAGATCCCAATCACATGATTGTTAGATGGGTGTGGAATAATGCAGGGTGGCAAGGTGGTTCTACAGGGGGTACAATTTTGCCAAAGCAGCTGGCCTGAAGATCTTTCCAATTTCAATCCCACAGGAGTCTTGGATCCCAGATTTTGGACACTTTTTTTTAAACCTATTTGAGGCACCTTGATTCAAAAATTGCTATCCTGCATTGCACCGTTTCATCCAACAGAAAATCAGGAGAGTTTCAATAGTTTAGAGATGTTGCCTTGCCTTTATAAATGGCGACTGGCAAAGCGCAATTATGCACTGAATCTTGCCAATTTCCTATAATTATAGCTTGTACAAATGGAGCACAATACCTTTTTTAAAAACCCAAAGGAATCAAGAGGGTTTTTAAGTGGCGGCTCTGAACAAGAGCCAGATTAAAATTTCGAATACGAAAATTTGTTTCTGCTTTTAAGGGGTGGAACAATTGAGTTTTATAAGATAGCGCGTGACAAAGCCTTTTGACTTCCCAGATTTATTTATTTATTTTTAAATCTGGAGGCCTTGGGGTTAAAAAGTATTTAGGAACGGCAAGGAAATCCTCCCGTTAAAAGGCTCAAACATTTTGCTTTAAAACTTGCCCATCGTTCAGGCCAGCATGAATCCTTGTGATTTCAGCGTTACATCCATTGTCATTTTCTTAGCAAATTGGCCATTGTAAGATGTAGGCTGCAATCCAGGTATTTTTCAAGTGGTCTTAGGGTCTCCATAAAGGAGATCCAACCCTGTTTTTTTTCTTCGGAGATCATTTTTCAGTCTTTTAGGGACATGGTGGCTCAGTGTCTAAGATGCTGAGCTTGTCGATCGAAAGCTCGGCAGTTCGGTGATTTGAATCCCTAGCCCGTAATAGAGTGAGCTCCCGTTACTTGTCCCAGTTTCTTCCAACGTAGCAGTTCAAAAGCAAGTAAAAATGCAAGTAGAAAAATAGGGACCACTTTTGGTGGGAAGGCATCAGTGTTCCGTGCGCCTTCGGCATTGAGTCACAGCGCTGGCTCTTTGGCTTTGAAACGGAGATGAGCACCGCCCCCCTAGAGTTGGGAATGACTAACACATATGTGCAAGGGGAACCTTTATCAATCTTTTAATTGACTGCTCAAGAAGTCGGACAATTGCGCTGCAGCGGGAGGCAGAAATTAAGTTATCCTCCACGCTACTTTGGTTTTAATGTAATTTACTATTAAAATCATTGCCAAAATGAAATGGATATATTTAAGGATCATCAAGAAAATTTGGTAACCCTGAATATTAATATCCTAAATTCGGGAATAGTGATGGAGCTTTTCAAGTAGGGTGTTGCCTTCAAAAAAATCAACAAATCTTGTTGAGAAAGGGACAAAGGCACTGATGCTGTTACCTGGTTTGGTAATGAGAAGTCTGGAAGAAAACCATCTCGAGAGATCTTTTAAGGGGTGTTTTTTCAAACTCTTTTCCCAAGGGGCAAATTCCTTTGTCTCCTCTCTCCCTACACAGTGCATCACTGTTCCAAAGCGCTCGGAGATGCTGTTAATGGCCTGTCTTTCCCACCCCCACCCCTTCTCTGAAATGCGTTCCCTATTTAAAGGGAGGGGGAACCGAGCTACACTTTCTGTTTGTTCCCTGACTTTCTTTGCTTCCCCACCCCCACCCCCAATATTGCACTTGAGCGACTTTGTAATTGCCTCAGGTTGCATTATGAAAAAAGTAAGACACTTTAGTCTTGTTTGGGAAGAGATTTTCCCAGCTTCGGATAATAAGATCGCCTTGTTTATCGGAGATCGAAATGCAGAGAGTTGTTTTTGTTTTTAAAGTGGGGGGAGCACAAATACATTCCGCTCAGTCTTATGGAGTGATAACTGCACAGAAGGGGGCATCACAGCAGACAAACTGCCAATATTTAGTTCCTTGTTTGATTTATCCATTAAATTCAAGTATTTCCACTAAGTTCTTATGTTTGGGATGCTGCAACAGTGGTCAGTTCCAGGCATGATGGTGTGGTGGTGATGGCCATTCAGTCATGTCCAGTTCTTGGCAATTCTATGGACTAGTTATCTCCACATCTTCTGCTCTTGCACTACTACTTTAAGTTATTCTATGCTCTGGCCGGTGTCACTTTTGATGGTTGGTGTCCGGCCACCATATTCTTGTTCTGACCTAGGTTTCACCAGAGCATGAAGCAAACTCATTGTCCCAACAAAAAACCCTTTTATTAATTGACTGTGACTTCTGCTCATTCGCATCCAACAAAGACTTTCAATGGAGGATTTACAGTCACAGACCTGATCTGGCTTGGAGAGCTGCCAGGCTGATATCTGCAGAACTTGGCAAGGAGTCTCGGAGAGTCATGAACCAATTAAGCGAACTAATTGTCTCCTGCAAACTCCACTCCTCTTTCACTCCTCTTATTTTCTCTGGGNGATGGATGGATGGAGTTATATAAGACAGACTAAACCAGATTAGAGAGACAGATAGGGAAATGTAGATAGAGAGATGGATGGATAGATAGTTGTTTTGTTACCTCTGACCAGCCTGTATTGTCTCCAATCCAATTTTTTGGATTGTAGATATAATTTGAGGTTCGACTGTGGCAAGATACATTTTCAGGAGCAAAAAGGTCCCCTCTCCACCAATTTGATTTATCCCAATTCCACCAATTTGGTTCAATCATAGGTCTCAGTAGGGAACATTTTTTTCATTTGGGGCGGCAGAATGAATTAAAACAGTAAGGATGGTAGATCCTTTGGAGGAAATTAACCTTGCAGAGTTAAGAATTGATAAACTATTAAAATATTCCCTTTAAAAAAAACAACCAGAAAGTTACCAGGGTATCAGGAAAAGATTTGGGTTGTGTGGTTAAAGACCATGCCAGAAAGCGCAAATGAGATTGAAGAAGAGCTTCAGAGTAAATCTGAATTTCTCTCTCGGTCTTAGCAACCCTGCCTAAGCACATTCTATCAGCAGAGTGAGATGCAAACCCCCAGCACAGCTGAAATCTCTCCTAGGCAGTTTCACCCACCCACCCACCCATCTTTGTCCCTAGTTGGGGAAAAAAGTCCCAGCCATGTCTGAGATGACAAAACCGCACTGAGATTGTCCAATCTCTGGATTGCGTTGCAATCTCTCTGAAGTTATTTGAAGGCCTCTGACATCTCGAATCAA